ACATCTTCCGCGAATACCCGCCATTTTCGAATTGGTAATCGTAATTTCACTTCCTTTCCTTGTATGAGCAGGATCAATACGCTGCTGAGAATCTACCGCCTCCCTCAACCATATGCTCGACGCCTGAGCTCTTCTGCACGGCGTTTCTCTTAATGAAGCATCCCACTCCATTTTCAACTCAGAAGTATCTAGAGTGGCACGTCGAGGACAAAAGCTCTCCCCATGCTCCGGCTTCCCACAAATAAAGCAGAATAGTGTCAATTTCTCGTACTCGAATCGAACGTAATGATCTTTTCCATTAGCAAGCCGTAATTTTTTTTCGTTTCAAAGGAAGTCTGATATCTAACCGGACCTTAATTCTCATAATCCCTTTATAGCCAAGGGAAATGGCCATGGAATCATATTCAAGGAAGGAACCAACACAGTTTCCAAGAGAACGAGCAACTTTCTCTGAAACAAAACCGTGCGGAACACTATGGATCAACATCCAAAAATTCACACGAGTTGATGGGACTAGTTTCGGATCCTCTCCTCCTTTTAGTCTATGGAGAACCAAAAGATGAGAGTTAAACTTCCAAGGCCCTCCATTTTCAATTCTTTCTGCATCAGCCGCCACAATAAACGAAATAAAAAATCTCCCTTCACCTAGATCAGAGATCGAAATGCCCCGACTGGGTGCCAAACGTTTGCAAGTGTGTCTCTCATTGAAACAAAGTGGATCACACTTGATGTGAGAAAAGAACCCACAAAACAGTGCTCGCACGAAGGAGGTAGATCTGAAGCATCTTGCTCGAGTTGCAGAATCTCATCCTCTCCCGGATCAAGCGCTAGCCTTGCTAGATCATTCTCCCTGCTGTAGACACGAGGAAACAAGATAGGAAAACCCAAAGAGAAAAGATAAAATTGCCACTAAGAGCAGAGAAAAAAGCGTGCCAGTAAGAGCAGAAAAAATAATGGACATAATTCTTGTTGGTAATGGATGGATGTTTTGTTCATCGCATCAAATGGAATGGCAACGGGATGCACTAATTTATCTAACCATATCCTTCACTATCAGGCTCGTTTATATCTTTGAAGTGGGTTTGGATGTTTAAAGTTTGATTATTTAAAATAATGAAATTGTTTTTATTTAGACTAATTAATATATTTTATAACGCAAACACTGATTTTATCGGGGTTCAATCTATTAGGCCCAGAAATGAAATTAAACACAATCAAAATTAAAAACCTAGCATGATCCTAACATTAAGTCTAAATCCTTTGGCCATAATAATATAGTTATCTCTAATATTTACACAAATAATCATTTGACTTATAATTTTTGGAATATTTTATTTTTATTAAAATAGATTATGTTGAATGAAAATTATTAATTGATTAAATATTAACATATATTATTAACACATGTAATCAATTGTTGACATAATAATATATATTTAAATAATGTGACGTATATCACGTCAACAATTGATTATATAGTAACATATATTGACCGTTAATTAATTAATAGTTTTCATCCAACAATTTTGATAAAAAATTTAAAACGAAGAATTATTCTAAAAAAAGAATAATTTAGGTAAAGTGCCCATTTATAAGATTATTTTTTGGAACAAAATTACTGAAATGTAATGTTACTCTATAAATGTTGTACTACCTTATTTGGTTTGTTTCACAGGAATATAAGTTTATCATACTTGGTTCGAGGGATAAAACTTCACTTAGATGTGTATTTGATCAAATTATCATTTTGATATATATTTTTTCAACAAGTTAAACTTTAATATTAAATTATAACATTTGAATGAAAATTCATAAAAATATTTTAATTGTTACAGTATCTAACTTTTGGAAAAAATATTTAACATATAATTAATATTATTATTATATCAAAATTATACTTTTAAATAATTTTCAGAAGTACCATATTTATTTATATAAATTATAATATAATATGAAAATTTGATATTATGGTCTCAAGGGAACAAAGATATTATTTTTCAATATATAAGATCTATTTTTTAATAACTCAAAATAAGATATTGTTTTAAATAATTACATATTTTACAATATATCATTTTTTCCCACATAATAACATTATAAATGATTAATATATAATAAATATTTAAAATGCTCACATTTATTAATATTTTATTAAATCAAACTCTTTATATATCATTATTACGTTTATAATTTTAAATATAATTTTAAATAAAATACGAATAATAGAATTGAAAATGATACATATGAAAAGAATTCATTATCCTAGAGATCTTCTTGTCCAAAGAGCTGAACATTATATAATACCTCAAATTTGAAATTAATATCATTCCCACCATTTTTAATAAAAACCTATTACTATTAATAATAAGTTATTAATAAAGGTGCTTAACGACTTGAGCAGCTCGTGAGCAATTCAAACTCTCGAACTCGACTCGGTCAAAACTTAGTAAACGCTCGACTCGAATTGGCTCGACTCGAGACCTTAAAGAATTGAGCCGAGCAAAGTCTAACTTAATTAGATAAGTTCGCGAACAATTCGTTAATTTTTTAAAATATATTTTTTAGTAATGACTTCAAAATTATTTCATTCAAAAAATAAATCTAAATAATAATTATTAATTTATTAATAAAAAATAAAAAATAATAAGTTAATTAATTTATTATTTTTAATAAATAATAAAAAATTATTAATTAATAATATTATTTTAATACAAAAAAACTCAACCCTAATATCCTTATATAGTATTAATAATTTTTATTTTTTATTAAAAAAATAAGGTAAATTTTTTAGTGAGCTTAACAAGCAACGAGTCGAGCAGCAAATTTTTTTAACGAACACGAGTCGAGTACAATTTTAACAAGCTTAACGAGCAACGAATCGAGTCGAGCAACAAATTATTTTTATCGAGCACGACTTAAGCACTGCCCAACTCATGATCGACTCGCTCGATAAACCCCCCTAATTATTACATGTTAATGATCTTTTACCTGAACTAAACGTAAAAATACAATTTCAGAAAAGATACTCTCCTCGGTAATAATCTCTTTCGCAAACCAAGGATCCCCTAAAGGATAATTATGTCATTATAGTGAAATTTTATTTTCTGCAGAGTCTGGAAACATAATTAAAAATGGATTACCTTAGAAAAAAGTGTTGAACTATGATTTATTGTTAGAAAATAAAAAAAATTATAATAAAGTCAAAAGGTTATTTCATATGAGACCATTTCCCGTATCAACATCAACGTCTTCTTATTTGTAATAAAAAATACCTTCATGGTTACATAACAAATATTTTGGCTCAAACGAATTTTCCCTAAAAATAATGATTCAGTAACGTTCCTTCGTCTACAGACAACATTAACAAATTATCTTAGGATGATAAACACATGCCATACGTAATTTTTCTTAAGCAAACCAACCAACAACAAAAATTAACACTATTAAAAAATAAGAAAAGAAAAAGAAACATAATGTTATAGCACAGAAACATTCGACGACACAAAACAGGCATGACAATCATATGGACCCTGCACATAAGCAGAAAAGATATCATTTCCTATACAAAGGATTAAAATGTTCATCATGCATCAAGTAAATTCATGTTGACGTCAGACGAGACGCTATTGGACAGCAGCAGCAAGAAGGCTTCACGAATAAATCGTTATATATAATCCTAAAAACACAAACTTAAAGGCAAGTGGGATCGATTAAAAGTGATAAATATGAATCAAAATGAGAGTTCATCAAGAGCTTTACACATGTGAACTTGGATTCCACTTTCTAATTTAGCCCCAAGACCACTTAAGCGAGGGTGGAAATATAAGGACAAGCACATAAAAGCAGTTGGCACCTTAGCTCAAAAGCCACTTGAAATTCCCATAAATTAGCCGCTTGAGCTCAAATATGTTGATATTGCTAATGAATGAAGTTAAGCTTGAGATCGTATAGGCTTGTTAGTAAACCTACTTTTTTTTTTGATAGGAATGGCAGGCCTCGTTAAAACCCCCTTCATGATTAATGGAACATAAAGTGCTCCTTAATCAGCGGAAGGAGGGAAAGAGTGCCTTAAAATTCATTAAAACGCATAAATTACATAATACTTAGGGAACAATCATATAGACTCCCTATACACACCAACCCATAGCTTAAAAATAACAGACCCAAACATAACCAAAAGACTTTAAAGCTAGCCAATACCAGCTTTTGCTAAGGCATCAGCCTCAACATTAGCTGACCAAGCAACCCATCTAATAATGCCTCCCAAACCTCTTAACTTAGTAACAATTTTAATGAGCCAAACCAGCACATGAGAGAGCTAAGCTTGACTTATCACTACATTCCTCAAAAAGATATAAGAAAGAGCATATAAGTTAGCTCATTAAAAGAGCCAAGTCATCGAAGCTCTTGCCATCTTTAGTCAAGTAAGTCCCATTAAACAAGTCTTATTCATATCAAGCCTAATAATAGTGTCCTGTAAGAGGGGAGGGGAGATAAATAACACCTAATCAGTGGCTGTCTCAAACACAAGAATAAATATCCCTGAACTGCGTAAAACAAACATCCTTCTAATAGAAGAAAAGGAATTTAAGTCCAACAATCGTTTGATCATAGTCCAAACCTAAGATATAACGGTTTCATTTCCCCACAATTGTAAGTTTGTGACAGGAAATGCTTGCCCTTGTGCCAAAACAGTCCTGGAGATTCCATTTCTATCTAAAACTGTGTGCAGATTTAGGTGAATTTTTAGTAAAAAATATGAAATAAATAGCATGCAAAAGCTCTTGGTTCTATTGTACTAATGAGTGAAGCCAGTTATGAATGCACATATCTACTATCTATGGTAAGAAAGAAACATGCAACTACATGAAGGAAAATGTAGGCGAGAGCAAGCTTTACTTGAAGGGATACTATGCACAGTTAGGATAGGGCATCCAGTTCTATAAAATGTCAGGGATACTATTTATATCATGTTCAGTGTAGTAAAAAATGCCACTTACATGCAAAAGAAGACCAAAGGAGAACATAGGGCACTCTAAAACTTCGAAATAGTATTCCCTGCAGTGAAGAGCGCAAATTAATCAAAGAAGAACATATCAGAGCACTAAGGCACTCACAATCTAAGTGTTCGAAATGCAGAGACCACAATATGTTAACTCAAGAATCGCTCTTGATTTCATCTGAGTCCGAATCGCTTGCATTATAACCTAAAATACTCAGAGAAGACAGCAAAAGCAATCAAGTATAAATTATCAGTATTTAATTACAAGGTGATGAAGATAATGATATTTACAGAGGTGAACCTGGACGCTTATCGCTGACTTTCCAAACCGAAGACCGAAGCCTCGATGCCCTTGTCATCCAAATTCTTCCCTATAATCACAAAATACCAAAGCAAAAGTTAGAAACAATGGGAAGCTTAACTGGAAGAAACAAATGATAAATAAGATTAAGAACCCAAAACCTTGGAACCTAAGACAATAAAAACAAAATCTCGACACTTCTCTGCATCTTTCATCAATTTTAAACAGCAAAATGGAAAAAAATTCAACATTTAACGGCTAATTTTATATTTTCCAAGGCAATCAGAATAGCAAAGTATAAACCCTACACCTCACAGGCGGAACCCAAATAAATGAAACAAAAAGAAGAGGAAAAAGGAAGAAAAAAAAACATTAACCTTTTGGGCATCTCGGGTAACTCCATAACCGCTACAATACATTTGACCGACAAGGACCTGCATGTTAACATCCCCGGCTTTGGCTTCCTTGAGAGTGTCTTTGAACCAACGTTTGAGGCAATCGGAGACAACCTCGGAGAGAGGCAGGCGTTGACTGGCGCTGGAGCTCTCCATCTTCTTAGGATTGGATTTGTCTTCGTTTATAATCCTCCGCAGCGGAGGCGGAGGCTGCGTTGGGGGTTTAGCCTTTTTCGCTGTGTTGAAGGCGGTGACTTTTGTTAGCTGCTGAAGCTTGTTGTTTGCTAGCTGCTGAATCTTGTTGGTTGCGCTGGGCAGCGATTTTCCCATAAACTTGAATTTAAACCTAAGCAGAAAAGCCAGTGAATATGAGATGTGTCATATTAAACAATGCAAAATAAATTAACTTTTGGTATAAAGTACATCATAGGTTATCAAATTATGTCATAATAACCTTTTAATCATCTAACTTTCAACCGTTATAAAATGGTCATTGACATTAACCATGAAAAGAACCGTGCAACCTTGATATGCAGTGAGTATGAACCCTAGGACTGCAATTATCATTAACTTGGTCATTGAAAGCAAGCTGCAATTATCATTCACACAATTTAAGTAGAAGTGAAGAAAATTCAATCCAACTCGAAAAGTTGATTTTTTTAATTATTCAAATTGAATTATTCGACTCAACTCGGCATTTTATTTTTATTTTCTAATTTTATACGAATTCGGATTTACTAATTTAAAAAAGTTAAAATTTGAAATTAATTGTTTTACGATTTAATCATTGATTTTTTTCTTAAGTGAGATGGCAAGGAAGCTCGAGCTGGATCAATCACTTCCATGCATGTATCATGGATAGACAATAACACAATATTTTATGTTATACTATCATAATGATTATCGGTAAACAGATAAACATGATCGAAAAAGAAAAAACATCAAGGTTTACGTGAAAAACCCAAAAGGGAAAAATCACGGGCAGAGGAGAAAAATTTCACTAATATAAAGGAAAAAAATACAAGAGGATTTTGGTAAAAGAAAAACGTGATATCTAACCCTTACCCTTAGTATCTATCTATAGGGATAGATACTTGATTACAAAGGAAAACTAAATAGAGTAGAAATCTACTTTATTAGTTCTCTACTTTTAATCAAACTAGGATTCTTATTTTTCTAAATTTAAATATTAATTAATTTGTATCACTTTGAATTTGAGTCAAACTCTAACAAATCTCCAAGTTGATGCAAATTTTGAAAGTGTGAAAGTTTTGAGACAAAACACTCAATTCGATAAGACACCAAACTAAAAAAACAATTCTTCATTTCAAAGAACACGTTCTCTACCTCCTCTATAACACCCCTAAAGAGGATTATCTTTAGTAATGGACACCAACCGGATCCAAACTTTTTCTAAGCTTAGATTTAACATTCACATTGACATGGTTAACATAAGTGTCAACTTTGCTTACAAATGTATCACCACGAGTAATATCATGCACAACACAATCCTGATCATCAATAATTTCTATCTTCAAATTCGTTATGACCACGAAATTTAACTCTTTTATGATTTACATAACCGTTCTACCCACGGTTATGTTCAACAAAAGTCTTCTTATGCTAGTTTTTGTCAAGACTTTTTTACTGGTAACAACGTTATTTGACACGGGGATGAAACATCAACTGCATTATCTAAAATTGTTGAACTCTATAGAACATAAAACTTGGAAGTCTTTCTATGTCCTTTCATTACAAAAAGAGAACCCTTGCAAATCTTCATAGCTTCACCTTCATTGGAGAATTTGTACCCTTTTGAATATAGGGTAGCTAACAAAATTAGATTTTTACTCAAATCTAGAACATGTCTCACATTACCAAATGTTCGAACAATCCCATCGAACATCTTAATCTTGATTATGCCAATATCTACGACTTTACAAGAATCATTATTTCCTAAAAATACATCAAATGTGTAAGACTCTAATCTGATATAACTTGGTCGACTAATTAGAATATCACACGAGACCACCAGAGTGGTTAACCTAAAATTTTTCTTTAAAACGTTTGTAAATCCACAATGAGGAGCTCCCAAATAAATACATAAAAAATAATACAATAAAGCAATTAAAAATAAGTAACAACTCAAGTACAAGAAGGTCTATGAATAATAGTGAAGGAAAAATAGTGGGACCCGACCTAATCCGAGAAACTAAAGAAAAGGTCAAGGTAATTCAGAACAAACTTAAGGAGGCTTCAGATAGATAGAGGTTGTATGCGGATTTGAAATGCAAGGATATCGAGTTCGAAGTGGGAGACAAGTATTCCTTAAGGTGTCCCCGTGGAGAAAGGTACTTCAGTTTGGACGCAAAAGAAAGTTGACTTCGCGTTTCATTGGTACCTACGAGGTCCTCGAGAGAATAGGATCGATAGCTTATCGTTTATCCTTACCACTAAAGTTGGAGAGCATTCATAATGTGTTCCATGTATCCATGTTCCGAATATATAGTTCTGATCCATCGCATGTCCTATCTTTAGAACAAGTCGAGTTGAGCCCTGATATATCTTATGAGGAGGAGTCGATCAGAATTCTAGCCAAGGAAGTGAAAGAGTTGAGAAACAAAAAGATCCCTTTAGAAAAGTACTTTAGAGAAATCATGGGGTTGAAGAAGCTACTTGGAAAATCGAGGAAGATATGAAGCTCCAGTATCTGTATCTTTTCTATCCAGGTAAATTTCGAGGGTGAAATTTCTCTTTAGGATGAGAGAGTTGTAACGCTCTAAATCTCGGGTTAGTAGTTCGGGTCAACCTGAAGCCTAAAGTTGAGCCCAATTGGACATTATAAAATAGTTGGACCCAGTTTAGTGTTTTTGGACTTTAGTTGGGCCTAAGAGTTAGTTGGTAAAAGATGAGTGTCTTATGAATTACAAAATAGAGGGACTAAAAGTGCAATTTATCCAATTTTTAAGTTGAAAACTTCCCTATTTTATGAGATATACGGGAACAACTCCCCATTCTTCCCACCAAACACTCATATTCTTCTTCCATCTTTTCTCTTTTCTTCTCCATCTTCAAGTTGAAGGATTTAGGACTTCAAGTTTAGTTTGGGTCAAGTAAAGGTAAGATTATTAACCCTCACCCTTAAAGCTTTATTTTAAGCTCCATTTTACTAGTTTTTATCCATGGAGAAAAAATGGGTTTTTAGAGGGTTGTAAGAATCTATGGATTCAAGCTATATTTAGATTATAAGGAGTTATTTAGAATGTATCCAACCTAAATGTATTAGTAATCCATTTTATTACCTTATTTAGTGAAGGAAGTGGGAGAGAGCTTCAAATCAAAAGGCAAAGAAAAGTTGAGCATTAATTGAGTTAAGAAAAGTTCTAGCCACCAAAGAAGCAAGGTAACACCTTTACAACTCTTTTATACTCTTAGTGAGTCATTAGAAGTTCAAAATAGCTTAAATGGTTGAGTTGCGCATGATAAGCATTTTTATGGTGAAATTCTTGTTTTAGAGTTATAAATGTGTTTAAAGCCTCTATTATTACCCTTGTTGATTTAATAAAACTTTAAGTATATTTATGGATCTCACTAAGGTCTTTGGGTTTGAAATATAACATTTTTAGTATGTGTCTTATGACTTCTACAGGTGGATTATCGATACTATTGGGATAATATCGATACTTGCTCTTTGTTTTGGGCAAATTCGTGTATTTTGGGCAAAACTATCGATACTCTTTGAAGAGTATCGAAACTTTGGGTCATAGTTTCAAAACTTCCATAAAGTTTCAAAACTTGGCAGAACAAAATGTTTAAAAGCATCGATACTTATATAAAGTATCGAAACTTTTGTAGGAGTATCGATACTCTTAGGGTAGTGTCGATACTTTCAGTCTGTTTGGGGAAAAATGTCAATTTTTAAGGGAATTTGACTCTAGGTACCCTAATACTTCATTTTATCATCAAATAAGACTACAAGTGAGAATATTAATGATATTAATTACACTTAGAAACAAGATTTATTATGATGACATAAAAACAGACTTGGATGATACTCGGTAAACGACCAGGGCACTCGAGTTCTTTTAGAAAATACTATCATTATCGAAAGTATAAATTCAGTCCAAATATATTTTAACACCACAACTCGTATCCGACTCGAATACGAGTCTGAGGTGTCACATTTAATGGTATCAGAGCTAAGGTTTAGCCGATTCTAGACTTAAGTCGAAAGTAAAAAAGTTTTAAAATGTGTACATGCCAGCATAGAGTGAAAAATTTCTGATCTGATAGTGTAAGGAGTATGATGTCTTGCTAATAGAATAAGATTAGTATAAGATGGTTATGAGAATGGTTAAAGTGAATCAAGAGGCGATAAACCTGATGGTGGTAGTGATTCACCTGTCCTGGCCAGGCTAGATGAAGAGCAGACACCTCAGGAAGTGCCTCATAAGATCAAAGGTTGATTTCATAAAGTTGAAATCATGTTTGAATATTGATAGAAGGTCTTCACGTTTTGAATCGAAAAAGTAATATGGAGTAGTTTTGTTATTACGTGGATAAGAAAGAATATGGTGAACAAGTTTCACCATAAGGAGTTAAGAGATCAAATGATGTAGTGAGAATTTGTAAAAGAGTTCAAGAATAAGTGCATTAGTGACAAGCGTATTAGATAAATGAAACAAAAGTTTATGAGCTTGAAACAATGGAATAGTATTGTATAGGTAAGAATGTGGATTTGATAAGGGTTTGTATGTTAAATTGAAAGAGTTGATGTTGACTAATAAGGATATGTGATTAATAGTGTATTGGAGTTAAAGATTTGAAGATATTGTCAGGATAATGTAATAAAATATGAAATGGATATGATATAATTTTATATCTTGATTATATAAATGTGATGTAGTGAAGGAGATAAGGATTCGCATGTTTAAGGGAAAATAAAGAGTAATAGAAAAGTTTAAGAATGAGTATATATGCGATCAGTTTATAAGACAAAGAAAGTTAGAACGTTTGATTTTGGAACATGGGAATAGTACTATGTATTAGTAAGAGTTCGAGTTTGAAAAGTTGAGTAAAATACCGTTGAAGAAAATTTCGAAGGAAAAGAAGGTATATGATTGGTTTGATAAGGGTTGTACTCTAGAAAAAAAGTTAAGGATTGTGTTTAGAAGATTCATTGATATGGATATTGTTTTGGAAGAGTTTAAGAAATAGGTGCATCAGTGATTAGTTTATAAGATAGAAGAAGTTGAAATGTTGAGTGTGAACAAAGAAAATTTCATGGTATATAAATTAGAGTGTGGGCTTGATAAGTGAGTACACTATACTGGTTTGATTTCAACTGAAAGGATGTATATGATTAGTTTGATTAGGGCTTATGCCTAGATTGAAAAGTTGTTATTGATTAGCTGTAATGGTATGGATAATAGAGTTATAAGATTTGAAGGGAAGATAAAGTTAAGTTAATCAAGTATGAAATGGATTTGGATGTGGTTGTGTATTTTGATCATATATATATGATGTAAGCAAGGAAATAAGTATTTGTATGTTTTAAAATGGGGCTTTAAAAAAAGAAATCAATTAAATTATGACCTTGAATAAGAATGAATAATACTGTTTACATGGCAAATGATATGATAAGGATTTACAAAGGTTAAAAGTAAGTGTACAATAGAAGGAGAAAAAAATAAATAGAAATGGATTGGGTTCTTTGGAAATCAAATACAAGTTATTAAGTGCAAACCGCGAAAGATTGAAGTAGTAAAGGTAGCATGAGAGATTTGAAGATATATGTGGGTAATGTTTCTATCGATGTGTTCAGTGAAAATTTGAGGACGAATTTTCTTAAAAGGAGGGGAGATTTGTAACATCCTAAAACAGGGATAGTGACTAAAATAGAGGTTTTGAAACTTTAAGGTCTAATTTCAAAAGATTGAAAAGTGTAAGGACTAAATTGTGAAATATTTTATGAAGGATTTAATAGAAAAGTTTGAAAGTAATAAGGGTAAAATGGTCTTTTCAAAGGAAAATTTTTATCTTCCCTTTATAAGAGAAGTAAACATGTGGAAATGGAAAGAAAATTCTGGAGCTTGGTTATCTTCTTCCTCTTCTCTCCCGTGGCTCCATTGGTAAGGTAAGTTGGTCTCAAGTTGGTTAATTATTTCGTTTTAAAGTTGGTTTTGATTCTTGGAGTGATAGAAAAGATTAAGGAAAGCTTAAGATAACTTAAAACTCAAAGAGGATTAAGTTATGTAAAATTGAAGATAAAGAGTTTTTAAGGGAATTATTGAGATTGGGTTAGTAAATAAGTTTTGAAGTAAAAATTGACTTGTCACCAGCTAAACTAAGAAAATAGGAATGATAGAAATGAATTTGGAACATATTGATTTATTGGTTTAATTATTGAATCCAAGCATGTTTGTGGGATATGTGATGTTATGATGAGTTAAAGTGAAATAAGTTGATTTGTGTAAGTATAATTAAGTTTCAAAAAGGAAAATTTGGGCAAGGGGTATCGGTACCCATTCAACAGGTACCAATACCTCAAGAGTAAAAATTCAGGAAGATATTAAAAGTGTACCGATACATAGGCAGATCGATACCCCCTTAAAAAGAAAATTTTGAAAGTAATTTGTGTACCGATACATAGACAGTGTACCGATACACCAATGAAGGGATGAAGGGATCTATCGATACCCTATAGTGTGTACCGATACAACTCAAAGGGAGAATGTAAATAGATCTTTCTTTTAGTTTTAAGAAATGAAAATTAGAGTATGCCAAGTGGAATGCTATGTGTATTATACGTGTGATTTTGTAGTTATCAATCAAGAGCAATGTCCGGACAAGGTGTCAAGTAATAGCCATTAAGAAGAGATAAGGAATTGGTATTGACTAGTGAGGTCAGGTGAGTTCATATTAGTTGATATATTATGTTTAAGGGAAATAAGACTTGTGTTGAGTCTATTTTCTATGTTATGATGCATGAATTCATAAGTATAAGCATATGTTTATATGAGTATGTGATCTATGTTAGTGTATATGTTATATGATTTGTATGTGTTCATGTATATATATCATATATGTGGCAAGTAATATGAAATGACTTGGAAAATTAAAATAAGTTATGTGAAAGTGATCTATGTGTCTATATGTGGTATGTGATTTATGTGACAATGATTATATGATCACAAGAGATAAGTCATAAGATGTGAATGATATGATAAGAAGCTGTGAGCCTATGTGATATGAAAAGTGACATGAACTACGTGAAAATAAGCTACGTGATTACATGTTTATGTGAATAATGTGATAATGAGCTATGTGAAAGAAGCTATGAGATTATGTGTTTATGTCATGTGAATATGTGATAAATTTAATAATAATGCTCATATTATGTGTTATGAGAGCTAGTGGTATAGTTGACATGCCAAGAGTCGAGGGTTCTACGTCCTTCAGGACATAGTGGTCATTCGGGACAAATTCTACACGCCTCTAATAGGAATTATACGAGTTGTGGTGACAATATAGTGCACAACCTCTACGTACTCACATACTTGTAGTTCTCAAAAGTGTACATGGGCTAAACAAAGAGATAACAATAAACATATTACATGTGAAGTATATGCTTTTGTGATATGAATTGTATTACATGATTTATATGATGATATGTGTATTGTTTGGTTAAATGAGTCATATATTGGTTAAAAATATTAGTACAAGAGGATATGGTTAACACATATAAATGATAATAATATTGATAGTGAAATAAGGTTAATGAAGGAAATGATGAGTGATATGTATATATGTACATTTGATTATATGTAAGGTTATATTGTTTCGTGTGATAGCATGGTATGATATGTTCATGTATGGTTAAGAAGTTAGAGTTATCCTTATAAAGTTAATGCCTCACTAAGTCATCGACTTAGCGTGTGATTGTTTCACACGTAGGTTCGAGGAGATTATAGTGCGAAGAGGAGAGAGACATGTCAGTTTCTCCTTGCCAAATATCATATCAAAAGAGAAATGAATATGAGTATGTATTTAATATATTGAACGTAGTTGTCATGTACTAAGTGATTTGTATTGAATATGCTTTGAGAGACTTTGTAAAAACCAAATGTTTTTAATTAATACAATTTATTCAATTTTATTTAAATGAGAAATTGAAATTCTTTAGTTATTTTGTGAAAAGAAACAGTTTGAAAAGTCAATGTGACACCTCTGACTCGTATTCGGGTCGGATACGGGTTGGGGGTGTTACATATATCCTTAGGTAGGGCCAAGTCCCTTATGACTAACTATGTTTGTTGAGGCCTTATCACTCTTTAGAAAAAAAGGTTGGTTAGTCAGGAGTATGGTTTTTGATGCAAAGAATTTCGGGGGCCATATCCAGGGTAGACTAGAGGGTGTGTGCTCCGAGATGCAAAACTCTCAGTCGCACCATGATGTCTACCATAGCATAAAGAGTGAGTATTCGAGAATACTCACTAAAGCAGTTTTAAAGGAGACTAGCTTGGGCGTAAGGTCCAACACTTAAGGAGTGGACTAGTAGAACAAAACATATAGTAGAACACATAACAATAAACTTGATAGCTTGAGCATGTCATGAACACTTTTAGTATGGCTTAGTTGTTAGTGTGACATTGGGAACTCCTATTGTAAATCATTTTATTTAAATTGTAGTTGATTCATTTTAGCGTGATTGTTTACAATGGTCATTTTTAAAATGGAAAATTTAAAAGAAAATTTTGGTTAACCACTCTGGTGGTTTCTTGTAACATTCTGATCGGTCAACTGTGTGCCGTATTGGTTTAGGGTGTTACAAAAGGGACCAATATTCAAATGAAGAACAACAAGAAAGTCAATTGCAAGATCAAACCAACATTATAAAGTTTTAGCAAAAATTGTCAATTTTTTGTGACACACTTGTGAGCTACATTGTTAAATTTGATCAAGTGTGATTTTTGGTGAATTCTTAATTTGTGCAAACACATTTTCCTTTGTGAGGTTTTTCTTTTGTTTACTAATTTTGTAATTACTCTTTGGGATATTGTGTATTCAAGGTTTTGTGGTATATAAACTTGAAGTGTTTGTAATGTTACACATTGTCTTTAAAGGTTTGCAAATCTAGTGGATTTGAGAAATCCTTAGTGTGGATGCTGAGTTACTAGATGTAAACTTTGATTTAGAAAGTCGAACCACTCTAAATTCTTTGTACAAAAGTTTAAATTTTGATAGCTTCCACCACAAAGGTTTTTAAAGACAAATTCAGCCCCTCTTGGCTATTTTGATTGATCGATAAAGTTAATCTCTACTTTGCATAAAATATCTTGTTAGACACTTGATACTCATGCTCGACATCTTTGAGTGCAACTAATGAACTTTGTGTCCAGCAATCATAGACAATAGACCGGATGGAAAGGACTTTGCTGGGGAGGATATAATTCAAGTCGGTGTCTCTTTTACCTATAGTTGTATTATAGTTCAAAATTGTTGTATTTGGGATTTTGGATCAAGATTTAATGTAAGGGGTGCAGACTTGGGAAGCTATATTGAATTGAAAAATTAAGGGTACAAAATTAAAAAATTTAAGGAAGTCAAAAAAATATATGCAAAACATCAAAGCAGGCATCAATTCATTCATCCATGAATCAATTGTTAATAGAAATGAAGACCATCATAGCTGAATCTCCTACACTATTATATATATATATATATATATATCATGGTCATTGCAAGGTCAGGCTCCAATCTAGTCCAATGGGCTAACGGCGCCAAAGACTCGGGCAAGGCAACTACTTTTAACATTATACACTAGTACTTCCATTTTATAAGAATAGGCATTTCTACAAACAGCTTGTCGGCTGAACAACACCAAATGAAGTTCCCCCAGCGTGCTTACATGAAGCTGCAGCTAACTCATTCTTGTACGTAAGAGACACCCCTTCCAATCGAATCCCACTGCATGGATGCTTAGAACTGCAATCGAAGTTTACGGCAACCTGTGTCGCCGACGTCCCGTGTATGTCTCGGTACGTCACGTCGCTAACTTTTATTCCCGAAACCTGATCGGGACAGTTATTGTTGCCGGGGCAGTAGTTTTGGTCGATCAAGATTGGGTTCTGCACGTTCTTCATGGTAACATGTTGGAAGACAATGTTCCGGGCAAAACCATTGCTGGGTCTGGCCCAAGATTTTATCCGTACACCATTCTGAGTTCCGATGAATGTGGCCGTTTGACGGTTACATTCTGCACTCCTGCCTCGTTTTGGTCCTTCCCCAAGCTCCCGATGCTATAAGCACACATGTTATATCAGAATATGCAAACAATTTCTTTTATGTTGATTTTGACGGTTCAGTGGTGGTGGTGGTTTTTTACCTGATGCCGTGACCGGGGCCACATGTGATTTGCTCCATCCAGAGATTAGTTGCGCCCGGGCCGATCGAGACACAGTCATCGCCTGTTTGGATCTTGGAGTTGAGGATAACGCCGCTCGATAGTTGTACATGAATTCCGTCGGTGTTGGGGCTGTCACCGGAGGCGGTGACCGTCACTCCTTGCATTTTCACATTCTGGCAGCCGTTGATGACGATGTGGAACATCTGGCTGTTTTCCGATGATAATCCGGCGACGACTATGTTCTTCGATTTGCTAAAGCTTAGTGACTGCATTCACAAATAAAATAGAATGTAGCCAAAAATAAAAGTAGAATTAAAGCGGGTGACTAGGAAATCTTAAACGTTAGTTATTTAAAAATAACTCCTACATGTAATTGGTCAAATAACGGTTTTGGTCACTTTACTATGCTTAAATTTGAATTAGTCATTTTACTTCGATTTGATATAATTTGATCATCTAGTCTTTTTTTTTATAAAATCATTAATTCAAATAACCAACACTATTAACTATTTTCATTAAAATGCTAACATGATTTTAAAGTTTTTTTTAAAACATCTCTTTAATTCATAATAAAGTTGTCACATTTTTTTTGGGAATGAATCTTTTTGAGAGAGAAAATCAATGTAAGAACTCTAATTAAGTATTTAGTCATATAATTATTCTCATGGTTTTGTTTTAATCACTCAATTATTTCTTTTTTCAAAATCATCACTAAATTTACATTTTTTTTCTATTTTGACCATCCACCCTTAAAAAGCTAATAGTGATGTTAATGTCTAACTATATAATAAAGTCATGTCTTAAAAAATAAAAATTATCATGTTAGCAGTTATGTTTATTTTTAATTGCAGATGATCAAAATGGAACAAAAAAGTAAGTTTAGTTATGATTTGAGAAACATAGTTGAGTGACAAAAATAGAACCATGAGAATATTTGGGTAACTAAATTCGTAGTTTATTCTATAATTTACTCCGAATCAATGTAACGGAGAAGAGATGTCACGGCGGAATTCAACTCACCGTCGCACCGCTGGGGCAACTCTTGCCGGAGTTCTTGCAAGCCCACAAGGCAGTCCCCCTGGCATCTAGTTTTCCGCCAAGGATCGAAACCCCATCAACATCCTGAAACAAAACCCAGCTGTCGGCGTTTCCGATAGCTCGATAATCCGCCGGAGCCACGAGGGTTCCGTCGAGTCGTATCGAGATAGCTCTGTTCTTGCATTGGCCCTGAAACTTCACATTGCGCAGCAAAAACATCCCTCTGGGCACGTAGATGCTGGCGGGGCTTGTCGAGGCACAAGCCTGAGTCCATGCAGCTAGAAAGGCTTTGGTTGAGTCGGCTGAGCCGTCGGGTTTGGCACCGTAACTCAGCACGTTGAGTTTGGTTACTGAAGAGAAAGATGGGATGATGAAGAGAAAGAGAAGTGGGAGAAAAAGGAGGGGACAAGTGGTCATCGTGTTGAGTTGGAGGAAGTAAACGGAGCGATGCTAGTAGTGGTGATTATGGGATTTGAAACGGTTTGAGTCGAGACTCGAGGGAGCGAGTTATTTAAATCCGCTCATCGTAATAATATAATAATACACTTTATATTAAATGGATTGGTTAAATGATTAGGATTCATAATTAAGTAAGCTGCGCCGGAATAGATCTCCAAGAGTTATAATTGTTTCGGTTATAAATTAAAAAAAAATTAAATAGTTATTAAATTATCGCTACAACGTTATAATAAATATAAAAATTTAGGGTAAAATATACAAATGACCCTCCAACTATAAAGTATTGCTTTGTTGAATCCTCTGACTATTAAAAGTTATAAAATGATCCATAAACTATACAGTGTTGCTTTGTTGAGTCCTTCGACTATTAAAAGTTACAAAAATCACCAAATTATTCATATGTTCAAAACTCGTTTTTCATTGAAAAAAATTGATAGTCGTATGAGTTGGACGTTAACAATGTTGACTGAAATGTGATTGTCTTTTGATATTCTATGATCAAATTTTATTATATCTTAGTCAACATGTTAACGTCCAACTCAGTTTGTAGTCATTTTTAACGAAAAAATGATAAGTTTGGAATATATGAATAGTCAAGTGATCATTTTGTAACTTTTAATGAATTCGATAAAGCAATATCATATAATCAGGGGCCATTTTATAATTTTTAATAGTTAGGGAACTCAACAAAACATCGCTCTATAGTCAGGACTTGGAAGAGCATTTGTGTATTTTATCCAAAAATTTAATAAATTTAGTGAATTTTCTTTATTAGAAATCTTATATATATAATTATACATATTAAAATTTGAGTTATATATATATATATATACTGAATCATTTTTGAACAATTTAATTGTATGTATGATTATATGAATTAATTGGCCCCAAAATAAAGTGTGAACATGATATTGTGATATGACACGGTGAGAGTTTCCCATGAATGAAGAAAATTAATAAATTATAAGCTAAAAGGAGGGTGCATGTACGTACATAGACGTGGTTGCTTGAAATCATAAGATGAGAGATAAACTTAATATAGATTACAGATTAAACAAACAAACATACTATTTAACATACAAAGTAAGTAATTAATTAAATTAAGAGAGAAGCAAACAGGCAGAGTGCGATTGTAGCCAACGTTATGTGCGCTTCATTTTATCACATTCAAATAATTTTTCTTTATCATGGAGAATAATTAATAGATAATATATATTTAGAAGAAATTTTAATTTATTGTTAAATGTAAAGTATAGTTGTACGAATATGAAATTTTATAAAAAAGGAAAAAATATTTTTCATTACTGAGGCTACTTAAAAAACTTAAATTTTAAAATTTTGATAGTTGAAAATATAAATATTCTAAAAAAAATTAGTGATCACTAATATAGTTTACCATTAATTTAAAAGAAAATTCCTAAAATTTGTATCACTATTGTTTGCAACGTGCATGGGAGCTTGATGAACGGAGACAAAATCGGCACTTCTTAAGTTAATTAAATGTGCCTAACCATGAATCCTCCCTCACCATTTCTTCACGACATCAATCCCGCCATCATTCCATGAACCAAAGGACTTATAATACATTAATATATGTTATAACATTACGAGTTAATCCAATAAATTTAGATGTTCAATTTCATAAAATTTAATATTGTGAATGAAACAAATTAAATTAAAATATCATCACGTAATAAATATTTATAATATTTATTTTGAATTAATTAATTAATTTCTTAATAAAATAAAAATAGTTATACTAATAAAAAATTCTATTTTAATCGCAGCCTAAAACATTAACTAATTAGTAATTGCGTATAGTTAATGATGGGCGGACGTATCATATTATCCATATATTAATATATTTGGTCAGAACTAATTAATTAATTTATTCAACAAGAACATGCATTCATGCAATTGCGTGATCTACTTAATTAACTAATCAACAAAGTAAAAATATTAAACTAAATCCTCAAGTTTCCCTGTTAATCAGTTAAAAAGAAATAATGATTAATAAAAAATGTTTTAAATGAATCAACCCTAAGTAACATGATATCGCTTAAGAAATATCTTGGGTTTGAGTCATTCTGTACTGGAAAACTCACCCACCAAAACTTAAGTGTGTAATATGACTCGGTTCGGATTAATCAAAATGAAGCCTTAAAACCGAGAAAAAAATAAGGTTTAAATGAGATTTTGATCTCTAAAATTATAATTCATCAAATGATCGCTTTAGTATTTGAAATTTTTTTTAGTTCAGTTTAATCTTTAAACCTTCTAATTACACTATATACTCGGATCTTGATCCTTTTACTTTGTCTATACACATTCACAGAATATTATGTGGTTTTTTTTATAAATATTTTTAGATACTAAAATAATGATAAAATATAATTTCAAATTAAAAAATATCATTTAACACTAATATAAACCTTAAAATTAGTCAAAGTAGTGATCCGGTGATCATTCGTGTGGTACGCCGCATGCAATGCAGTTTTCCATGTTCAAATCGTTATTTGATGTTTTAAATTAGAAAATATTATTATTATTTCTGTTTATCGGGTTATAAACTTATAATGCGTTGGACGTATTAGTATTTATAATTATTGCCTAAATATATTTTTAATAACATTTTATTATATATTTAATTAGTCCTTCTTTTCTTTATTATTATTTAAAGTAGTTATTTAGCCTCGAAATTTTTTAATAGGTGTTATTATTAACAAATACTTATATTAAAACCACCTACCTTTGGTTTAGTGAGATAATACACTATATCACTTAAACAATGTCGCATGTTTGAATCCTGACGATTGTGAATGAGCAAATTGAGTTGGAATGATCGCTTTTGTCTCTACAGTACCCGATCTGGATTAGTTGATAAATAGATAGGATATCGAATAGATAGATATCGATTGTTATACCCAAAAATTTACTTAGATTAAATATTTAATAATAATAATTTAAGAATCAATCAAGCAAAGTGGTTAAAGAAAATATTGTTATTCTTCTTTATTTATAGGGTGTGTGCGGTCATTGTCAATTGATTGAAAGAAGTTCAAATATATTATCTTGTAATTGGTGTTTTTCCCGAAAAATCACCGGTGAACGGTATATTTACCGATCTAATACCGGTTATATTATATTTCTCAATTTAACACCCGTAGCAGTAAAGCGCGCCCCCTGAACTGCGCTTGATTTGGCGCCACGTGGAGTATAGCGCGCGCCCTGTACCGCGCTATACGCTGACTGGATTACACGTGGGGTATAGCACGCGCCCTGCTCCGCGCTATACGCCACGTAGGGGTATAGCGTGGATCAGGGGGGCTATACGCCGAACCAAAATTATATTTAATGCGGTCCCTGGTCCGCGCTATATATAATTACATATAACGCGATGCAGGGCACCGTTATGTGTTTATAAATACACTCCTCCTGTTCTCACATCTCCTCGCATCTCTCCTCTCTTATAAATTAATACAACAATTCCGTCAACGAGTAATAATTCTGGCAATCTTCTTATATTTGATTTAGAAGTTCGTGCGATTTTTCGTTATAAGGTAATTTTGTTATATTTTTAATTATATATTTTTTTATTATCATTATTTGAAAAAATATTATACTAATTATTTCAATTAATTTTTGTTTAAAATTGAAAGCGAGAGCATACATCGAAATAGTTTTGCGTGCAGGTAATATAAAATTATATTATTTAAATATTTACGTTGATGTGTAAAAAAAATTTTGTTATATTTTCGTTCATTATAATTTATTTAATCAGGTTTGTTTTAGTTATTTTTTTGCAGATATAATATTGTCGCACTTTTAAACTCAAGAATGGCGCTACTTTCAGCTATTGTTTATTATGATGATGAAATTCGAGAAGATGAAACCGGCGTTTTTCGTATCAAATGAGCGTGTTAAAATATCATTCAAGAAACATAACTCTTGAGGAGCTGATAACGAAGATTTCGAGGAAGATCATGTTGGAAGTAGTAAAGAATGTCGTCGTTGCAGTACAGATTTCCAACATCATTGTTGCCATTAACTTATACAGTGTTCAAACTTTCGAACAATGATGATGTTCAAATGATGGTTGAAGCTCAAAGTAATTATTAAGACGCCGCTATTGAGATATATGCACATTTTGTTCAAGTGCGTGTTGTTCGGGGTCAATCTTTAAGCTCACACTATGGATGCTGAACAAGTATCATGTTGATAGCCGACTACAGTAATGTATGATTTTAATGCCATAATGGGGAGACATTCATCCGTAACTCCTTACGATATGTACCGAGGTGGGTCCACGAACAATTCGTATGGCAACACCGCGTCCAGTTCAAGGGGAAGGCATTCATCTGCAAATTTCTTTAACCATATGGAGATGTCATCGACGCAACCATCTGTGTAGTTTCCATTTGACACGATGGCTTCAAGCTCTAAGGGAAGGCATTCGTCTGCGAGCTTTTTCGATCTGAATGTCGATATGCCTTCCAGTTCAAGGGGAAGGCGTGCAAGTAGTAGGTTCTTCGACCTAAATGTGGAGAGCATGGAGGAACCATCATCTCCACCAGAAGAACCGCTTCGTGAGCCTGGTGCAGATGGTGCTGAGACTGGACTATTCTTCACCCAGAATCACCGCAATTCAACTCCGATGATGATGAAGTTCCAGGAAATGTGGCACAAACTGACCCTCCTGCACACATGTATGAAGCTGATTATGGTGCAATGTACGGCCAGAATTTGCGGATATGCCTCATCTCGTGACTATGGATATTACTCATCAATAAATAATGGTGAGTTATCTTTAGCATGGAGTTTTCAAGCAAAGAAGAAGCGATGATGGCTATCAAAAATTACAATATCCGTAATTTTGTTCATCTAGTCAACCGATCGACGACCGAAAAATATGTATGCTAATGTGTCCGACGCGAAAATGGATGCAATTGGATGGTTCGCGTATCGAAAATGAAGATGAAAAACAACATATGGGAACTAACAGTATACAACGGTCCTCACACATGTTGTGCTAGAGGGGTCAACCAAGATCATCCCAACTTGGACTCTGAAGTGATATGACAAGCCATCATGCCCATGGTAAAAACAAGCTCTCATATAGCTGTTGCAGTGTTGATTTCAGCTATACAATCGCAGTATGGGTACACTGTCTCCTATAAAAAAGCTTGGTTGGCAAAACAAAATGCCATTGTCAAACTTCATGGCGAATGGGATGCATCTTACAACGAACTTCCAGGTTGGTTTAGGCTGGTGCGGACGTTGAATCCTGGGATAATTGTGGACTTCAAAACCTCATATGCATACCATAATGATCGAGTTCTTCGCGATCGTTGCCAATTCTACTGAGTTTTTTGGAGTTACCCACAGTGCGTTAATGCTGCCAAATATGCAAGCCTGTGGTCTGGGATGCATCTTACAACGAACTTCCAGGTTGGTTTAGGCTGGTGCGGACGTTGAATCCTGGGATAATTGTGGACTTCAAAACCTCCTATGCATACCATAATGATCGAGTTCTTCGCGATCGATGCCAATTCTACTGAGTTTTTTAGAGTTACCCACAGTGCGTTAATGCTGCCAAATACTGCAAGCCTGTGGTCCAGATCGACGAGACTTTCTTGTATGGAAAATACAAGCAAGTTTTATTATTGGCAGTTGTCCAATATGGCAATCACAACATTCTTCCAGTTGCTTTTGCTCTTGTCGAAGGAGAAGATACAAATTCTTGGGTTTTTTTCCTCCGAAATTTACGTGCACATGTTATCACGAGAGAAAAAATCTGTGTCATTTCAGATCGCGGAGCTGGGATCAAAGCAGCAATGGAGTCTTTGGGTCCAATGTGGCAACCACCCTTCGTCCAACATAGGTATTGTCTCCGACACATTGCTGCGAACTATCATGGAATGTACAAGAAGAATGATGAGCGTCAATTAATTGTGCGCATGGGTATGTGAAAGCAAGTTAGTAAGTTATACATTTTTTGATCATTTTAATTTTGCAAAGAAAACAAGTTTGTAAGTTATACATTTTTTGATCAGGTTATGAACTACTTCCTCGACGAATGTATATGATGGTGGATATCGATATGGACACATGACGACCAACTTGGCTGAGGCAATCAATTCAACCTTAAAGGATGCACGCCACTTACCTGTAGTGGCTTTGGTAAAAACTATATATTTTCGTTTGGGGGAACTTTTTGCGAAGCTCGGGGGACAAGCTCAAACCTGGATGCAAGGCGGTCAGGTCTATCACCCTAGATTAGTTGCAGATCTATAGAAAAAAATTGCTGCATCAAATGGAATGTTTGTAACAAGCTTCTCTAGAAGGCATGAAAATGTTTTGTCACAGAGTTACCGCGACCTCTTCAAGGGATTGAAGCTGTGTCGTTAAGAGTAAATCTAAGAGACAGAACGTGCGACTGTGGGTTTTTTCAAGCTCTGAAGTATCCATGCTCTCATGTGATAGCAGCTTGCTCGCATACACGTCAATACTATAACCATTTTGTGGATCCCGTATACCTACTATCTGAAGTTTTTAAGGTATACGAATTTGAGTTTCCCCCCATAGGTAATGACAAAGACCCTGATGATGTTCAAGATTGGCTTTCGATTGTACCAAATCTGAGTTTATTGAGGGAGCGTGGTCGTCCAAAATCCAATCAAATTCATTGCGATATGAATATTCGAGAAAGATCTAGACAAGGCAGAAGATGTGGCCATTGTAGAAACCCAGGACACACTAGAAAAACATGTCCACTTCTATTGTCATCAAGTAATAATTGATGAGGAAATGATGTATTTGTTTATCAAATAATAATTATTGTATTTTAATTTGCATTTACTTCAAGTTAATGTCATTCGATAATCGCTGAAGATTAATAAAACAAACACAATCATTAAATTTTATCAAACGAATAACAATTTAACAAAATTAAATGGTAATAAACAAAATTAACTGAAATATATTAAAAAAAAGTCCAACAAATTTAATAAAATAACGTAAGTATTAAATGAGAAATAATAAACAATTACAATTAAACAAATAAGTAAATACAATATATAAAAAAAATATCGATGCCTGCGTCGCGAATGTGTTCCGCAGGGCGGTGGCTGTCGGTCTCGAGGAGGATTTCTTCGTATCACTGGTTCTGACTCCTCACTGTCATCGTCGTCGTCGTCGTCGTCATCCTGAGTAGGTACATTAGGTTGATGAGGAATTGATGACGATGAAGAACCTCCATAGAATAAGGACCCTGGAGGTGTATGACTGGCTATCCCACCGGCCTACGAGAATGGGGAAAACCCAAACATCGCTGAGTGTGAAAACTGTAGAGGAGGTGTCTGTGCTGCGGCCATGGGTGATGAGGCTGAAACCACCAAATATCCAGTATATGAACCCCAAGTTGGATCTACAAACATAGACCCATAATAGCCTCCAGGAGGGGTCATCTGTGACGGTGGCGGTGGCGGGGTCATAAAACCAGGTGAAGACGGCGGCAGCATCTGGTAATGGAAAGGCGATGGCGGCATCATATATGGCTGTGGTGGCTGCCTGCTGGTGTTGCTGAGGATGAACCGGAAGCACCTGCTCTCCGTCCACGAGTCGGGGGACGATGGTGTTGTGTCGGTGAACGTCTCTGTCGACGTCGTGGAAAGGTTTACCCTCGTGCATCCTCGGGAAGTAGAAACGGTTTCCCGTTACTTTTGAACCACTCATAATAATCCTCAGCATACATCAAGAGGTCATAAAAAATGGGCTCTCTACGGGGAAGGCGCCGATGTCGATCCTCCCACAACACGACCCACCCATGATGCCTCACTAGCTAATCTGTATCTATCTTGTCGCGTCTATCTAAGCTATGCAACTCGTCCATATTGCGAGGTGCTTCCGGAATTGGTTGAAAACAACCAAACTGCCGGAGCACGCGATCATTGGAGTGCCACTCGACGGTCGCATAACAGATCAGAGGGACCATCGCCATCTAAACATTTGATGGACCCCTCAACTCAGGTGGGATCACCGCCCTCACATCATTAGTAGAATATGGCACTCATTCAAACTAAAACAAATAATATATAATTTTTATCAAAATAATAATCTAATTATATAACTATAATCTAAAATCGATTTTTAAACATTAAAATTCATACCTATGTGCCAGCCTTCTGATCAATTAGCACCCTAATTTTTTCTAAATCATCAGGTAGCTCCTGATGATTTTTCCTATCAGTAGACCACATATTCAAGGAAAAAAAATTGTTATACGCTGTATAAAATTATTAATATACAAAATCAGTTTTATAATTACCTCAGAAGTAGTGGAAATACGAATGGGTTCTTCACAACGGGACATAAAAAGGGCAATCGATATCATGCCCAAGACTGTAGCAGCAGAAGACATATGCCGATAGCATTACACCTGTAGTATACATGCCCGTGCATACATCTTAACTTCATCCTCAACTGAATGATCCGGCGAGACGAAATTCGCTAAGATGTCGCAACCACGTGCAGTGAACTAGGTTGCACGATTTGTCCGGCATCAGCAACCCTCCTATCAGCTGCAGTATACATGCCCATGCATACATCTTAACCTCATCCTCAGAGGCGTCTGCGATCAACTCCCGAAAATTGGCATCTAACCAATTTAACGGTATCCTACCTCCGATAAAATTTTCCGGGACACGTCCTAGACTATCCCGACACAAAGTAGTCCAAGAACTGGAAGCTATCCCCGATATCACATCTTAATCCACCGGAAACCCCAGGTGCATAGAAACATCCTCAAGCGTGATCGTGCACTCTCCGCACGGAAGATGGAATGTATGGGTCTCTGGCCTCCACCGCTATACTAAGGTAGAAATCAGGTCTGGCTCTATCTTACAGTGACCCTGATATCTACCTATGTAACCAAATCCAGCCTCTACTAAATACGGCAAGACACGGCTGGATATCACTAACTTAAGATTCCTAATAAAAGGATCTAATACACGATCATTCTCCTAAAAATAAATAATTACAAAAATTAATTCTTAATCTAATAATCATGCATTAAATAAATCAACTAATTATTACTAATAATTTAAATTAAATTAAAACGTTAAAATGTTACCGTATCAGCAAAGTATCGAGATATTTAATTCTTAATCTAATAATCATGCATTAAATAAATCAACTAATTATTACTAATAATTTAAATTAAATTAAAACGTTAAAATGTTACCGTATCAACAAAGTGTCGAGATATTTAATTCTTAATCTAATAACCATGCATTAAATAAATCAACTAAATATTACTAATAATTTAAATTAAATTAAAACGTTAAAATGTTATCGTATCAACAAAGTGTAGAGATATATGATTTCCATCCAAGCGAAGTAGACTGCCTTCCATTATATATCTGCAAAAGAATTATATTAGTAAAATATTAAATAATGTAAAACACTTAAATAAATTATATACATAATAATAAAAATATTATAAAATATACCTTAAAAAGGGAGAGTATTTGAGAGAAATTTAGAGAATTTGAGAGAATTTGGGGTGATAAAAGTGATTGAGGATGGGGGTATTTATAGGGAGGATTGGGGTGTGGAGCGGGTATTTAGGGGTATAGCGCGCCCCCTGCACCGCGCTATACCCCACGTGTCAGATACCTAGGTATAGTGCGGATCAGAGGGTGCGTTATACCCACGTGGCGCCAAATCACCGTATATCGCGGGGCAGGGGGCACGCTATACTCACGTGGCGCCAAATCAGAATATATCGCGGTTCAGGGGGCGCGCTTTACTGCTACGGGTGTTAGATCGAAAAATATAATCTGACCGGTGTTAGATCGGTAAATATACCGATCACCGGTGATTTATTGGGAAAAACGTCCTTGTAATCCCCTTATACTAATAAATTAATATTTTAATTAATATTTTTTAAAATTGCGATTTTAACTGAAATTTTTCAATAATCTCTGTTTTTGACTAAACAATTTGATTAAAAGATCATTAAAATATTTTTATTTTAACAATTATTTCATATAGTATAATCTTTGTTATTAAATAATCTGTGGTAGTTACGACTAGTATAAATTTGTTGTAAATGTAAGCAAATTAGATATAGTATGGATGCTTCATTGAAATTTAGACATTTCTATTATATATTTATTTAGACATTTTTCTTTATTATTATTATTATTATTATTTAAAGTTGTTATTATTAACAAATACTTAGATTAAATATTTAATAAAAGTTAATTACATCATATGTCCCCAAATTATAACCCTCATTTTAAATTGATCCTTAAACTTTTGAATATTTTAATTTCATCCCCAAACTACGACTCTCATTCTAAATTAGTCCTTAAACTTTTGTACATTCTAATTTCATCCCTAAACTATGATCCTCTCTCTAAATCAATCCCCCAAACTTTTGAACATTTCAATGTCATCCCCAAATTAATCCAAATATGTAATTAGTTTCAACCATGGTTTAAACTAAATTTTGTTTTTTTCCCAAACATATAATAGTATAACTTGGCCTAACGGTTTTATTAACAATAGATGTGATTAGTATATACATATAGTTTGGGATGAAATTGGAATATTAAAAAAGTTTGGGGACTAATTTAAAATGAAGATTATAGTTTGGGGATGAAATTGAATTGTTTCAAAAGTTTGAGTAATTTAGAATAATAGTTATATTTTAGGGAATAAATTAGAATATTAAAAATTTTAGGGGCCAATTTAAAATGAGGGTCATACTTTGAGGACATGTAATGCAATCAACTCATTTAATAATAATATTTTAAGAATCAATCAAACGACATCAGTAGTTAAAGTGAGTATTGTTTTCCCTAAAAGTCTCAGATTTGAATAACGACATCTGCAAGATGTGTATGAATTCATTTTATATTGATTAAAAAATTTCGATCAACTATATTAATAAAAATTAATAATAATTTAGTTAGTCTTTTAAAAATTGCCATCTTAACAGTAATTTTTTCAACAATCTTTGACTTTAAATAAATACTTTGATTAAAAGATCATTAAAATATTTTATTTTCATCAATTATTTCATATAGTTGTAATCTTTGTTATTAAATAAATCTTTGTGGTAGTTATGACTAGTATAAATATGTTGCCAATGTAAGTAAATGAGATATTATAGATAGCATAGTAGTATCGATACTTCATCGAAGGTTAGAGACTTAGAGTGAATCTCCTAATTAAACGGTTGAGATCTTTCTACCATTTAACCAAAGATGGGTATAGGTGAGGCGGAGCGGTCCCTTAAAATTTAAAATTATTATATATTTAATTTTTTATATATTTTTATTAAAAATCTGTTTTTATTTCCTAAAATTTTATAAGTTCATTTTCGCTCCCTAAAATATTATAAGTTCAAATTTACCCTCTAACATAAAATCACATGTTCAAGTGTATATTTTTGGCTTAATGGTTTAGAGAATCAAAATATTTTGTTATCATACAGTCGTGTCATTGAACCGTCACTTTAGCATCGTGAACTACCATATCAACATCCTGACAGGTAACAACGGAAACCGTTGGTTAAAGGATCATATTAGGTTTTTTTTTTCGAAGTTTGAAGATCATATTAAGAGCAAAAATAGTTTGAGGATCACATTAATTTTTTTAGAAATTTTTAAGGGTCTCAGTTATTTTTCTAACTCCACTTTGAACAACCAAGAGGCTGCATGCCAAGAACTATCGTGTGCTACATAGCAAGGAGTGATTATTTAATGATAAGCAAATAGTGTTTGATTAATTGTTACCTCCTTTTTAATGCAATAACAGCTAGATGCAGCACACATTCCATAACATAACAAATTAGACAAAGGTTATACGGCTTGGGGCTAAACAATTTTATCCAAAGTGATACACAACACAACCATTCTCATCATCAGTCCATCAACCTCTCCATAACCAGTTTGAGAACAGCAGGTGCATCGACTGCGACCGCCACCTTCACCGAGGGTTGATCCGTCCACTCCGTGATCTCAGCAAACCTGGTTAACTGTATCCACTCTATAAGGAAACGTCGTACATCAACACAGAATTTGAAGGCTATAAGTGCATGTTCTATACATTCAATCTATTTATCTAGAATCCAGGACAAACACGAGCATTCATTCTGTACGAAGATTAATGCACAGAACAAAGGTTTCATATAAGCTCGATTCTGTTCACTTTGTATAACTTCATCCAGAAGCATATTGCAGAACAAAAAAATCAAACCAGATCACATGAAGCTCAGTTAGTCTCCTCAGGTTCCAATTCTTTTGATAATATACACATACATACACAATATCTAACCTTTTCTGCTTGTTGTATAATAGTGTTAGTCCTCGTGTGATGCCGTTTCTTTGAACTCGGACGGCACCCTCCGTGTAAGTGAGAAGTGAAGGATTAATGGCTGCAAGCATGGCCGTTGGATCATGAAGGTACACACCTGCAGAACGGTAGTGAATAAATTAAAAGGTTGCGATTCTGCTAAATTCCCTTAACCATTACCAGCGGGCAAACCTTTTGTGCTGTATGCTTCTTGATGATAATTGAAGTACACTCCTAGTATTTTTGCACAAGTACTGAGCAAAGGTTCCAGTTGAGCTAGCCAATTTGTCCCAATCAGCATCTAAAATATGTCAAATTTGATAAAAACTGATGACAACTGAAAAGCAAGATTAGAAAATGAAGGAAAGTGTTGCGGAAGACGGCTTTCGGATAGAGCAAAATCGCAACTAATAATTTGATAAAATAAAAATGAAGATAAAAGAGACACAAAATTTACGTGGAAAACCCCTAAATAATATAGGGTAAAAACCACGGGCAACGGTAGAAGAATTTTACTATGAGAAAATAGGAATTACAACTTCTCTCGATCTACCAAGGAGAAAACAATGATAATTCTCTCTTGATAAAAATGAGAAAACAACTCTCAAGAAAATATCTAAATTTTCTCTAGTATTGGAAGAAAGCTAGAATGCTTTGGGATGGTTTTAAAGCTAAATGAGCTAGGGTATTTATAGTTGAAGCTTAAGGACTAATATTGTAAATACCCTAAAATTACAATGACTAAAATTGAAATTGTACCTTGCTAGTTTTCAACCATTTTAGCTGCCCAATTTGAACCAAAATAGCAGCCATGAATTTCCAAATTTGACCAAAGCAGCAGCCGTGAACTTTGAATTGATTTTCAACAATCTCCCACTTGAAGATTTGATTGGAACAAATCATATCTTCACACCATTCTTTCTACCTTGTACCTTCATGTTGCTTACATCTCTGACATGCCACAAGAGGATCGATACCAAGTAAATTTATCGGTATTGATCGCCTTCGTCATGAAATCTGCTATGTTGTATTTGGTATGGATCTTCTGCATATCTATCGTTCCTTCTTCTACCTTTTCACGAATGAAATGGTATTGAACTCGTATGTGCTTTGTCCTTGAATGAAATGCTGGATTCCTTGCTAAATGCAAGGCGCTTTGACTATCACAAAACAGAGAGGCATACTTTTGATTGTGCCCAAGCTCTTCCAATAACATCTTCAACCAAATTGCTTCTTTACTGGCTTGTGCAGCTGCTACATATTCTGCTTCTGTTGTGGACGTAGCCACAACTGACTGCAATTTTGAAACCCAGCTTACAGCTCCACCAGCAACTTTGAACACATATCCTGTAGTAGATTTGATTTTATCCAAATCCCCTGCATAGTCAGAATCTACATACCCATTGATTAGTAAGTTTGATCCTCCGAAACATAATGCAACATTTGAGATCCCTTTGATATATTTCAAGATCCTCTTTACTGTATTCCAATGCTCTTTGCCTGAATTTGCCATGTACCGACTAACCACTCCTAGTGCTTGTGCAATGTCTGGTCTTGTGCATATCATAGCGAACATTAAACTTCCCACTGCTGATGCATACGATACTCGAGACATCTTCATCATCTCTTCTTCACTGTTAGGACTCATACTGGAGGATAATTTGAAGTTAATAGGAAGAGGGGTAAAAATTGGCTTACAATCTTGCATGTTGAATTGTGACAAGATCTTCTTCAAGTAATTCTTTTGTGAAAGCCAAATCTTCCTATTATTTCTATCTCGGTGAATTTGCATCCCTAGAATCTTGTTTGCTGATCCCAAGTCCTTCATTTCAAATTCCCTAGCCAATTGTACCTTCAATTCTTCAATATGATCTTTGTTCGGTCCTACAACCAACATGTCATCCACATACAACAACAAAATAACAAAATCGTTATCACCAGACCTCTTGAAATAAGCACAAGGGTCTACATTAAGTCTGTTGTATCCAAGGCACATAATGAAGGAATCAAATCTCTTATACCAACACCTCGGCACCTGCTTTAGACCGTACAGAGATTTGTTCAACCTGCAAACCAAATTCTTCTTTTATTTTCTTCAAAACCTTCAAGCTGGAGCATGTAAATCTCTTCTTCAAGATTTCCATGAAGAAAAGTTGTTTTAACATCTAGCTGCTCTAGATGTAAGTTCAATGTAGCACACATTGCCAAGAGTACTCGAACTGTTGCTAGTCGAACCACAGGAGAAAATATTTCATTGAAATCAATACCTTCTTTTTTAGCATATCCTTTGACCACCAATCTTGCACGATACCTCTCTACTTGATCGTCACCATTTCGCTTGATTTTGAAGACCCATTTATTACCAATTGGCTTTCTTCCTTGTGGTAGTGGCACAAGGTCCCATGTATTATTTTTATGAAGGGCTTCAATTTCTTCTTGCATCGCCATCATCCACAGTGAAGCATCTGAGCTGTTTATTGCCTCCCGGTGTGTTGATGGCTCACCATCCTCTGTTAAAAGGCAGTATGCAATATTACCTTCTATAACATAAACTGAGTGCCAATTGGGACGTCTTCTCACACGATCTGATTGACGAGTTGTTGGAGCTTCAGAACTCTCTGGTTCTTGTTTATCATGTGTTGGTTCTGCTTCAGAAGAATCTCATTGTTCAACCTCCTTGTCCATATGTATCTGTGTAGTCTCTGACTTTTCAGCGCTATCATCGTCTTCTTTTCTTTGTATTTTATCTTCTACAAAGATAACATCCCTGCTGATGATCACTTTGCAGGCAGTGGATCCCACAAGCGATACCCCTTGACTCCATCAACATACCCTAAGAATTTGCATTTCCTGGATTTTGGATCCAACTTTGAGATTTCTTGGGAGTTGTACATCACGTACACAATACTTTCAAATACATGGAGGTTTGAATAATTAGCTGGTTTTTCAGTCCACATCTCCATTGGTGTCTTTAGCTCTATTGCAGTTGATGGAGCTCGATTCACCAAATAACAGGCGGTATTGACTACTTCTGCCCATAATGATTTTTCTAGGCATGGATCCCTCAACATTACTCTTGTTCTTTCTAACAAGGTTCTGTTCATCCGCTTTGCCACTCCATTTTGTTGAGGAGTGTTCGCCACTGTGAACTGTCTTTTGATGCCTTCTTTCCTGCAAAAGTCATCAAATTCTTCACTTGTGTATTCTCCTCCATTATTTATTCTGAAACACTTGATCTTATTTCCAGAATCAAGTTTCACCCGCGCTTTGAAGTTTTTGAAAGTTAAAAACACATCTGACTTCTTCTTAATAGGGTACACCCAACATCTCCTAGAGTAGTCATCAATAAATGAGACAAAGTATTTTGCTCCGCCTAGGGATGTAACTGGTGCTTGCCATACGTCAGAGTGAACCAATTCAAGAACACCTTTGCCTCTAGAATTTTATGTGTTGAATTTCAACCGGTGCTGCTTACTTATTATGCAATGCTCACACAAAGGAAGTGATACATTTGTTAAGCCTGGAAGTAGCTTTTGCTCCACAAGGATTTTTCATTCCTTGTTCTGACATGCTCCAAGTTTCTGATGCCATAGCATTGCAGAATCTAAACTACATAAGGCAACAGAGGCTTCTGCTTCTAGCAAAGTCTCTCCCTTCAGCATGTATAAGTTTGTTGTTATATTTTCACCTTTCATGATCATAAGCGATCCACAGAACACCTTCATGATTCCTTTCCGTGTTTCAATCTTGCTTGCATTATTATCCAACAATCCGTAGGATAATAAATTTTTCTTCAGGCCTTTCACGTGCCGCACATCTCGAACAACTTTAATTGTTCCATCATACATCTTCAATTTGATGGTTCCCACACCAACGATCTCTAAGGCATGATCATTGCAACTATACACAGATCCTCCTGAGACATGTTCATAATGATGGAACCATTCTTTTCTTGAGGTCATGTGATATGTTGCTCCTGAATCAATGAACCATATATCTGCAAATCGTTTTCTGCCTTCCACGGTGGTTAACGCTTCACATCATAGAGCATCTCCATCATATGAAGTGTTTGCGGTATTGCCTTGTGGATTAGAGTTTTTTATTTAGACTCCAATAATCCTTCTTCAAGTGACCCTTCTTTCCATAGTTATAGTACTTTAAATTCTTCTTGCTCCTCAACTTCGATCTACCATGTTTATGACTGCTGCTTTGGCCACATTCCGTTGATCTCTCTCTCATCATTGTTAATGTTTCTGCTTGTTGCAGATTTACTTGTCTGTCTTCCTTGTTCTTGCGCCGATTTTCTTCTTGTAGAACAGCATCTGCAACGTCATCGAATACTAGACTGGTGACATTACTGTTTGTCAAGTTGATGATGAGTTGACCATACGAATTAGGTAGAATTTGAAGTAGAAGTTCAGCACGTTCTTGTTCTCCTATTGTACATCTTAAGGATGTAAGCTGAGAAAATAAAGTGTTCAACGTGTTTAAGTGCTCCATCACTGAAGTAGATTCTGGCATCCGGAGAGTGTACAATTTTCTCTTAAAGAAAATTTTATTGTGCAACGATGTGGCCTCGTACAATTTGGTGAGATGATCACATATCTCCTTAGCTGTCTTCTTCTCCTCGATTCTTGACAATACTTCATCTGCTAATGCTAGATGAAAGTTTGCCATAACATTCCCGTCCATTTCGATCCATTTGTTGTCATCTGTAAAATCTACCGGCCTTTCATTGATAGCTGTTAGACATCCGTCTTTCCTCAGGATGACTTTCATCTTCAATTTCCACAATGAGAAATTTCTCCATTTAATTTTTCAATATCAAATTTCGTTACCATAACTTCTTTTACGGATAGCTCCCACTATTTCACTAGCGTGAATAGTTATCTGGAACCTTCAAAGAATGGGTAATAACTTCTTACTTTCTTATGTTGGAGGATCCACCTTTTGGTGGAAACCACAAAGACAATAAACAAATATTACACATTATAATCTGGCTCTGATACCAATCGTTGCGGAAGACGGTTATCGGATAGAGCAAAATCGCAACTAATAATTTGAGAAAATAAAAATGAAGATAAAAGAGACACAAAATTTACGTGGAAAAACCCTAAATAATATAGGGTAAAAACCACAGGAAATGGTAGAAGAATTTCACTATGAGAAAATAGGAATTACAACTTCTCTCGATCTACCAAGGAGAAAACAATGATAATTCACTCTTGATAAAAATGAGAAAACAACTCTCAAGAAACTCTCTAAATTTTCTCTAGTATTGGAAGAAAGCTAGAATGTTTTGGGATGGTTTTGAAGCTAAATGAGCTAGGGTATTTA